GCCCAGGCCCAGAGTTCAGGCCCCACAACAGGCCCCCCCCCAAAAAAAAGAATACATTTCTTTTTGGATAATATCACCTCTTCCCTTGCTCTCTCCATTTTTTCCCCTCCCATCCCTACCCACAAGTTGTATGATCCACATAGTGTCTAGTGAGTACCACTGCTGCATTTGTTTAACCTTTGTCCCTCCATTTCTGTGCCCCTCTTAGTGTCTCGAAGACAAATAAATGAACAAACAAGACAAAAAGAAAATAAAACCAAAATAGCAACAAAGCAAAAAAAATCTCTGGTTTCCATCTCCTGGAGTTTATTTCAATAAATATTATTATTGTTATTATTATTATTTTTTTGGCCAGTCCTGGGGCTTGAACTCAGGCCTGGGCATTGTCCCTGAACTTTTGCTCAAAGCTAGCACTTTAGCATTTGAGCCACAGTGCCACTTCCAGCTTTTTCTGTTTATGTGGTCCTGAGGAGTCGAACCCAGGACTTCATGCATGCTAGGCAAGCACTCTACCACTAAGCCACATTCTCAGCCCAATAAATATTATTTTATATGGTCAGATGCACATATGCATTGCACGTTTATGTTCCTTTCCTAAGAGTATCTTCCTTTGGTCTCACTGTGTGTGAAGGCCTAGAGTCCTGTATAATTTATCATGTATTTAGCACTATGGCTCCAGTGTCTTGGGCTCAATTTCTTGCAAACCTATGGACTTGAGGAACACCCTGGGATTTATTGCGTGCCCCCCTCTCTCTCTTTCTCTCTCTCTCTCTCAGTGTCTCTTGCTGTATGTCTCTCTCTGTCTGTCTCTCTGTCTCTGTTGCCCATCCTGGGGCTTAAACTCTGGGCCTGGACACTGAGATCCTTTTGCTCAAAGCTAGCACTTTACCACTTGAGCCACAGTGCCACTTCCATCTTTTTTTGAGTAGTTTACTGGACCTAAGAGTCTTCCAGACTTTCCTTCTGAGGCTGGTTTTGAACTGTGAACCTCAGATCTCAGCCTTCTGAGTAACTAGGAATACAGGCATGAGCCACCAGCACCCAGCTGAGCCATAGTTTTTAAGAGCTTATAGGTACTCAGCTTTAGTCATACATATTTCCATGTTGTTTCTCCCATACCCTAAAATTCCAACTCTAGTTTTTGTTCATTTCATGTCTCATTCCCTGCTGTGTCCTTTTCTGTCTTTTCCATCTAAAAAGTTTGTTGGAATTTATCCATTCATATTTGTTTTTCCTTCCACCAGTTGATGACCTTCAGAGATGTGGCCATACAGTTCTCCCAGGAGGAATGGGAGTACCTGAACCCAGAGCAGAGAAACTTGTACACAGATGTGATGTCTGAGAACTATAGCAACTTTGTCTCAGTGGGTAAGAACAGAATCTGATGCTAGAAACTTCTGCATTCTGTATTACTGATGATTGCATGTTTTTCAGATGTCTAGGAGATTTGGCATGTATTTCCAGGAAAATGACATGTATTTTTATTTAGGACTTAGCATTTACCAGCCACATGTGATCTCCTTGTTGGAAAAAGAACAAGAGGCTTGGATAGAACTGGATGAGGAGAGAAGAGGATTTTGCCCAGGTGAGTAAGGACTGAGAGACAGGAGGCCCTGATTATAGAAGAGATCCTAGTTACCTAGTGAGGAAGCAGTACCTCTGAAAGGTCAGTCTGGAGTATCCTTTCACTGGCCAGAGGACTTAGATAAAAGCCAGAGATAAAGCTACAAAGCATTTCTGAAAGAAATCTCTTTTACATACACTATTACATTTCTGTGTTTGTTCCTCATGTTACAAAGTGCTAAGCTGCTATTCTTTTTCCCCAGGGGCCATTATTTTGTGGATGGTTTAGATTGGGTGCCTTCCATTTGTTGGGTTAATTTCATGGAGAAATACTCCAAACTGGAAGGGGCCAACAGTCCAGAAAATGATTCATACAAACCATTTGTATGAGTTAAAAAATGAGTTTTTAGCCAGGCATCGGTGGGTCATGTCTGTAATCCTAGCTATTCAAGAGATCTTAGGATTGCTGTTTGAATCTAGCCTGGGCAGGAAAGTCCAGGAGATTCATATCTCCAATAAACTACTTAGAAAAAGCCAGAAGTTGCACTGTGGCTCCAGTGGTAGAAAGTCATCCTTGTGCACAAAGTAGCTTAGGGACAGTGCTGAGGCTCTGAGTTCAAGCCCCAGGACACCAGGGGGGAAAAAAAAGCATGCTGGTGTCTTGTGCCTTTAATCCTAGCTGCTCAGGAGACTGAGATCTGAGAATCATGGTTCAAAGCCAACCTGGGCAAGAAAGTCCAATTAACCGCCAGAAAACCAGAAGTGGAGTTATGGCTCAAAGTGGTGGAGCACTAGCCTTGAGAAAAAGAGATCAGGGACAGCGCCCAAGCCCTGAGTTCAAGCCCCAAGACCAACAAAAAAAAAGTTTTAAGGGCTGGGAAGGTGGCTCAGTGGTAGAGCGCTTGCCTTGCATGCCTGAGACCCTGGGTTCGATTCCTCAGCACCACATAAGCAAAAAGATAAAAGCCGGAAGTGGCTATCACTGATGGGAAAATTTCTTTTTTTTTGGTCCGGTCGTGGGGCCTGAACTCTGGGCCTGGGCACTGTCCCTCAGCTCTTCAGCTCACGGCTAGCGCTCTACTACATGAGCCACAGCGCCACTTCCGGCTTTTTTTTTCTTTTTGCTTATGTGGTGCTGAGAAATCGAACACAGGGCCTCAGGCATGCAAGGCAAGCGCTCTACCACTGAGCCACCTTCCCAGTACCTTATTTTTTATTTTCGTTAGTCATAGGGCTTGAACTCAGGGCCTGGGCGCTGTCCCTGAGCTGTTTGGTTTAAGGCTCATGCTCTGCCACTTTGAGCCACAGCTCCACTTCTAGTTTTCTGGTGGTTAATTGGCAATAAGAGTCTCACAGAACTTGGTGCCAGTGGCTCATGCCTGTAATCCTAGCTACTCAGGAGGCTGAGATCTGAGTATTGCACTTCAAAGCCAGCTGGGTCAGGAAAGTCCGTGAGACTCTTATCTCCCATGAACCACCAGAAAACTGGAAGTGGCACTGTGGCTCAAGTGGTAGAGAGATTGCCTTGAACTGAATAGCTGAGGGACAGAGTCCAGGCCCAGAGTTCAAGCCCCATGACTGACAAAAACAAAAACAAAAATCTAGCATGTGCTGAGATGAGTGTACCACATGGTGTGAAACAATTCAAAGTCTTTAACTTGGACAGTCCTTTTTTTTTTTTGGTGTTGGTACTCAGGCTTGAACTCAGGGCCTAGGTGCTGTCCCTTTGCTTTTGTGTTCAAGGCTGGCACTCTATCACTTGAGCCACAGCTCCAGTTTAGGCTTTTTTGTTTGTCAATTCAAGTGAAGAGCCTCATGGACTTTCCTGCGCATGTTGGCTTTGAGTGAAAAAGCTCAGGAACAGCACCCTGGCCCCTGAGTTTAGGCCCACGACCAACACAAAATAAATAAATAAAAATTCTGTTTATTTACTGCCATTTCTTTCATGCTATCCAGAATTTCAGATTTTATTTATTTATTTATTTTTGTTGGTCATGGGGCTTGAACTCTGGGCCTGAGTGCTGTCTCTGAGCTCTTCAGCTCAAGGTGAGTGCTCTACCGACTTGAGACACAGTGCCACTTCTGGTTTTTTGATGATTAATTGGAGATAAGAGTCTCAGGGACGTTCCTGCCCAGGCTGGCTTTGAGCCACATTCCTCAAATCTCAGCCTCCTGAGTAGCTAGGATTACAAGTGTGAGCCACTGGCGTCCAGATTTTTAAGCTATTCTTTCATAGGTGCTTTATATTATGATTTTCTTTCTATCACTACACTGGAATTGTTTGTTTTTGGACAGTAAAACAGTATGTGTTTACCTTTTTCTCTTTCAGATCTACAATCCACGTGGCAGGCCAGGAAGATATTATCAAAAAATAGGTCACTTGAAAGTGTATTATCCCCATGGGAAATCCTGGAAGTCTGTACAGATGACAGCCTTGAAGGTTTCTGCTTTTCCGGTGATTGTGAAAGTAAAAGTCCATCAGAAACACAGTATGAAAATGATTCACATTGCCAGCAAGTCACAGCCACCTATGAAAAAACACCTACTTCCAACCAGCTCTCAACTTTTACTCAACATGGTGGACTCAGTACAGGAGACACACAGTATGCACATAAATGTGAAGAAGACTTTAGTTTTGGCTCAGATGATACTCAAAATCAGTTAATTCATATGGGTGAGAAATTATGGGACGATCAGGAGCATGGGAAAACTTTTATTCTTGATTTAGAACTTACTCAATATCAGTCAGTTCACCCTGGTAAGAAAACATTTGAATGTAAAGAATGTGGCAAGGCTTTTAGTTTCCGGTCAAGTCTTACTGGTCATATGCGAATTCATACAGGGGAGAAACCTTATAAATGTAAGGAATGTGGGAAGGCCTTTCGATTTCACTCACTACTTAGTGTCCATAAACGAATTCATACTGGGGAGAAATTTTATGAATGTAAGGAATGTGGGAAGTCCTTTAATTATAGCTCAGACCTAACTCGACATCACAGAATTCATACTGGTGAGAAGCCCTATGAATGTCAGGAGTGTGGGAAAGCCTTCAGCTGTGGCTCAGACCTTACTCGACACCAGAGAATTCATACTGGTGAAAAGCCCTATGAATGTAATGAATGTGGGAAGGCCTTTAGTCAGCAATCCCATCTTATTAAACATTACAGAATCCACACTGGTGAAAAGCCCTATGTCTGTAAGGAGTGCGGGAAAGCTTTTACTTGTGGGTCACAACTCACTCAACATCAGAAAATCCATACTGGGGAGAGACTACATAAATGTAAGGACTGTGAGAAAGCCTTTAGCTCTGGCTCCAACCATCCTCAACATCAGTTTCTGTATACTGGTGAGAAATTCTTTGAAGATAAGGAAAACGGGAAGACCTTTTTGCCTGACTCCGAATTCAGTGAGTATCCCTCCATCCATACTGGTAAGAAAACATATAAGTGTAAAGAATGTGGCAAAGCCTTTAGTTTGCGCTCAAGTGTTAATCGTCTAAAGAGACTTCCTCCTGGGGAGAAACCCTTTAAATGTAAAGTATGTGGAAAGGCTTTCAGTTGTGGATCAGACCTTACTCGCCATCACAGGAGTCATACTGGTGAGAGGCCCTATGTGTGTAAGGAATGTGGGAAGGCCTTTAGTTGTAGATCAGACCTGAGTCGGCATCAAAGAATTCATACTGGTATAAAACCTTATCAGTGTAAAGAATGTGGGAAAGCTTTTACTCGTGGCTCCAACCTAACTCAGCATCAGAAAATTCATGCCAGTGAGAAAACTCATAAATGTACAGAATGTGGGCAAGCCTTTCGTTCTGACTTAGACTTTACCCAGCATCAATTAATTCACAGTGCTGAAAAGATGTGTGAAGATAAGGGATGTGGAGAATCCTTCCAACTTGATTCAGAACATACTCCATGTCAGTCAGTTCATGGTAGTAAGAAAAAAGGTGAATATAAAGACTGTGGCAAGGATTTTAGCTGTGGTGCAGGTGAGACTGATCTAAAAGGAATTCATACCAGGAAGAAACCTTTCAAATGTAAGGAATGTGGGAAGGCATTTAGTTATAGCTCAGATCTCACTCGACATCAGAGATTTCATACTGGTGAAAAGCCTTATGAGTGCAAGGAATGTGGGAAGGCCTTTACTTCTGGATCTGATCTTACTCGACACCAGAGAATCCATACTGGTGAGAGGCCCTATGAGTGCAATGAGTGTGGGAAGGCCTTTAGTCAACAGTCCCATCTTATTAAACATCAGAGAGTTCACAGTAGTGCAAAGACAAAGAATGTATTGGTTGTAGAAAACCCGTTAGTCAGTGACCATATCTTATTAAACATAGAGAATTCACCTTGGTGAAAAACCTTATGAATGTAAGAAATAATGGGAAAGCTTGTAGCTCTGGTTCACACCTAGCACAACTTTAGAAAATTCATGCTGTTGAGAAGCAGTTTACCCCAAATCAGAATTTTGATGTTGGTAAGAAATCCTGTGAATGAGAGATGAGTTCAAGTCTCAGTACTAAATGTAGCAAAGTACACCACAAGAAAAAAAAATCCAGAAAACATTTCCTTATGAAGATAGATGAAGAAATACATATATTTGGTGAGTCCAGTATTTATTGATCCATGATCCTAGGTACATAACTTGGGATATATAAACATTTGTAGGAATGGATAAGAATTTTTTACCTTGAAAATATACTTTTAGTTCAGTAATTTCTCATGAATACAATTCCTGGTGTCTTTTAGTATTATACAAATTAAGCAATGTTCTGTATGTGTACACATAGTAATTTATAAATTACTTTTAATTGGCAGTTTATTCTCAAAGTATTGCTATTATGGAATTTCACAAGTTGGGAAGATTTGTTCTGTAACTATTACAATAAACAGGCCATTTTTATTCATGGTGATCAGATTTCTTTCTTTTCTTTTTTTTCTTTTTTCTTTTTTGTCGGTCATGGGGCCTGAACTCTGGGCTTGGGCACTGTTCCTCAGCTCTTCAGCTCAAGGCTAGCACTCTACCACTTGAGCCACAGCACCACTTCTGGCTTTTTCTGCTTGTGTGGTGCTGAGTAATCAGACCCAGGGCTTCATGCATGCAAGGCAAGCACTGTATCAATGAGTCACCTTCCCAGCCCTTCACACTGACTTCTAACATGTTCCCACATCAGTCTCCCTATATGCTCCTCTAGCTCCTAGTAGCCTATGGTTTTATTAACCTTCCTACAACTGTACTTAACCCAGGGACAGCAAGGTGGCTGCAGCCTAAGCAAATCACACCAAACATTCACACTGTTGGGGTGGGGGTGGGGGGGGGCTCTTACACTAGCTCAGCTTGCTTGCTCAGAGCTGGTGTTCTAATCACAAGTCATGCCTCAAGCCTGATTTTTTTTACCTCCCACCCCCCTACGGTCCTGAGGCTTCAACTCAGGAGCCTGGGAGCTACCCCTGAGCAACTTTTGCTCAAGGCTAGCACTAGGTATCACTTGAGCCACAGCACCATTTCCAGCTTTTCCTGTGATTAATTGGAGATAAGCATGTCAAGTACTTTCCTGCCCAGTCTGGCTTTGAACCACGATCCTCAAATCTCAGCCTCCTGAGCCACCAGCACCTGGCTTCAAGCATGATTTTTGTTTACTTGGAGATCGAGTCTTAGACTTTTCTGCCAGGCTGGCTTCGTTGAGCTGCAGTTCTCCGGGTATCAGCCTCCCGAGTAGCATGAGCCACCCAGCAACCTAATATTTTAAATTTTAGTGAAATATGCGTGATTTTTGGTTGGGTGCCGGTAGCTAAATTGACAGCCACATGTTAAGTGTCAGTGCACTGCAAGCACCCGCTGAAAACTGCGCCACCCTCCGGAAACGAGTTTCTACGCCTCCCAGCCTTGGGACTACATATCCCAGAAGCCTTCAGTCCAATACCACTTCCTGCCTATGACCCATTCCGGCCCAAAGACAGAGGTGGCGCGAGACCTGGTTTCCAGGAGGTGCCACCGGTTTGCGGAGAAAAAAGCATGAAGTCCTCAGGTGAAACAATGTAAACAGACGTGGAGAACTTTGAGGCGCTTCTCCACAGGTACGAGAAATACGTTGTTGTTTTCTTTGCCGAGTGAAGGGATGCAGTCTAAAGCCGGGGCCTGCGCTTGAGGCCGTCAGGTTCTAGACTGTTAATGGGTATCTGGGCTCCGGACTACATGTCCCAGAGTGCACCATACCTGAGGCAACTTCCTGCCCTCTGTACGACTTCTTTCCGGACCGTTGAGACATCACTTGAAGTCACTGTGGAGGGTTCGATGGTTTTTAGAGGGATTTCAGGATCGGACAAAGGTGAGTCTGAAGCCGGGAATCTGAAGGACTTGGGGGTAGGAGGAGAGGCGGTGTGGTAGGCGTGCAGGGAAGAGCGAGCCGGTGAGAGAAAAGGAAGTCCAGTTGTGAAACTCATAAAGGGGGCTGCAGGTGATGGTGGCCGGGGCCGTTAGGGTGTGTGAGAGAAATTGTGGCGCTCTTATTACTGTTGTTACTATATGAGTGACTGTTGTGTAAACGTGGTGACAAGCAGCTGTGGGGACCAAAAAGAAAAAATCATTGTGGTGAGTGATGTCAGGGAGTGAGAATGTAGCCTAAGGCGAGTAAATTGTAATATCTGCTTAGTGAAAGCTGCACCTGTGTGTGTGGAGGCGTTTGGAAATGAACTCACACCTTGTGTATGCTAAACAAATGTTTACCACTCAGTTGCACCCCAGCTTAAATGTTGCAGTTTTGCTAGCTGATGTATACATATTCCTACTGCATGTGCTTACTGTGAATTGTAGACTATACTATTCTCTTTATTGAAAATTTTTGTCATATATGTGTGTCTCCACAATTAATTGTGTGTGTGTGTGTGTGTGTGTGTGTGTGGCGCCTTTTTGTTCAAGGCTGATGCTCTACTACTTGAACCATGCTTCCAGCTCCCTGAATCCATATTTGTTGTTGTCATCCTAGAGCAGGACTCAATGTTGGTCAGGACTATTTACTCGGGCTGGGAAGGTGGCTCAGTGGTAGAATGATTGCCTTGCATGCATGAGGCCTGGGTTCGATTCCTCAGCACCACATAAGCAGAAAAAGCCAGAAGTGGCGCTGTGCCTCAAGTGGTAGAGTGCTAGCCTTGAGCTGAAGAGCTGTGGGACAGCACCCAGGCCCAAAGCTCAGGCCCCATGACAGGCAAAACCAAAAAAACAAAAACAAAAAAAAAAACTATTTACTCACTTCTGCAAGTCTTTACATTGATTGAAGAGGCTGCAGTGACAATGTAAGAAAGCAGAGACAAAGAGTGTGGTGGAGCTTGCTATATCTCTTAATTTAAATCTTGTTTTAAAAATGTAGAATGGGGGGCTGGGAAGGTGGCTCAGTGGTAGAGTGCTTGCCTTGCATGCCTGAGGCCCTGGGTTCGATTCCTCAGCACCACATAAGCAAAAAAAAGCCGGAAGTGGCGTTGTGGCTCAAGTGGTAGAGCGCTAGCCTTGAGCTGAAGAGCTGAGGGACAGTGCCCAGACCCAGAGTTCAGGCCCCATGACTGGAAAAAAAAAAATGTAGAATGGTTACTTATTACTTCTGAGATGAAGCTATACCCCAAAGCCTTTTTTTTTTTAGGACTGTTGCCACAACTGGGAGGGAACTGACATTCTACCTGGGCCAAACACTCCATAATTTGTGTCCCAGAAAAGGCTACTTAGTCATCTCACTAAATGTATCTAATCAGGATGATTTGGGCCTCATAATTACCTTTGGTTTTGTGGTATGTTTTCGATGAAAATGAAAATGGCAAGTGTCATAGACCTTGCTGGACATGGAAAAGGTAAAAGGCACTATCTTTAAAGTACTCAGGAGATGATTGGGTAAGCATATTTGGAGAGTTCCATTGTCCTCGAGGTGACCCTGGGGATTTCCAACTGAGGGTCTGTATAGTTGTAGGGGACATTTAGGGCAACCATGGTTTTATATCTTGATTTATATCTTGATCCTTCATGACTTTGGCACAATCCGTTGGGTTGAAATACCATTATGTTTTATACCATTATGTCTCTGGTTTTGGATAGGGCCAGGATTTCCTCAGATTCCCACTGACCTTCTTCCAGCGGAGGAAAAATGATCTTGTCATTTGTCTGTGAAAACTCTAAGGAAAATTTGACCTACTATAATTTTTTCCCTTTTGCTCTGTGTTCTCAGGACTCTGCTTTGCCAAGAAAGAAATCCAGAAGACCTGTTGACTCTTGGGATTTTAAATCATGGCCCATGTGAGTTGGAATCTTCTCCAAAAACACTTATGTATATCATGTGATTTTTTATTTTTATTTTATTTTTTGTCAGTTGTGGGGCTTGAACTCTGGGCTTGGGCTCCATCCTTGCACTCTTCAGCTCAAGGCAAGTGCTCTACCACTTGAGCCACAGCACCACTTCCAATTTTTTAGTGGTTTATTGGAGATAAGAGTCTTTCCTACCCGGGCTGGCTTTGAACCGTGATCCTCAGATCTCAGCCTCCTGAGTAGCTAGGATTACAGGAGTGAGCCACTAGTGCCCAGCTTCATGTGAATATTTTTAATTTAATTTTTGACTTACCATATATTAATATGAGAGTTTTGTTGTGATAATACATACATGCACAGTGTACTTTGAACATAACCCCCTCTAATTACATTCCCATAGTCTCATAGTTCCTTTCCTAATCCCCCACTTTTCAGTGTTTACTGATTTCTGACTTAATATATCACATATATATGTAGTATATATGTATGTGTGTGTATATGTACATATATGTGTTTATGGAGGTGTGTGTGTGTGTGTGTGTGTATATATATATATATATATATATATATGATATGTATCATACCTTGATCCTCTTTACTCCTCAGTATCCTTCTTTCCTTTTCCCCAAGTTCTGTGACTTAGCATGAACAAGTATTTGTTTTTTGAGCTTGGTTTAACGTGATCAATAAGAAAGTCTCCAGTTCTCTTTTCTTGAAAATGACATAACAATTTCACTTTTAGAATGAAACATACTTGGTCACAGTAAATGATCTTTTTCTAAGGTGTTGTGGAATTCACAAGTATTTTTATTAAGAATATATATGTATTTTTATCAAAAAGATTGGCCTGAAATTCACTTTTTTTTTTTTTGGTCAGTTGTGGGGCTTGAACCCTGGGCCTGGGCGCTATCCCTAAGCTCTTCAGCTCAAGTCAAGCGCTCTACCACTTGAGCCACAGTGCCACTTCCAGTTTTCTGAGTGGTTTATTGGAGATAAGAGTACGGAGTTTCTTGCCCAGGCTGGCTTTGAACCACAATCCGCAGATCTCAGCCTCCTGAGTAGCTAGGATTACAGGCATCAGCCACTGGTGCTTGGCTAATTCACTTTTTTGTTGTTGTTGTGTCCTTTTCTGGTTTTGGAAATGAATATTAAACTGGCTTCAGTTATTTGGAATTATTTTTTCCCTTTCCATTTCATAGAAAATTTTGAAATGTATTGATGTAAATTCTTTTTATTTATTTTTTTTGCCAGTCATGGGCTTGAACCTCAGGGCCTGATCAGTATCCCTGAGCTTCTTTTTTTGTTCAAGGCTACCACTCTACTACTTGAGCCACAGTGCTACTTTTGGCTTTTTTCTGGTACTAGGGAATCAAATTCAGGGCTTCATGCATGCAAGGCAAGCACTCTATCACCAAGCACATTCCCAGCCCTCTAGTCACACGTATTTCTCTTTTTTTAAAAAATAATTTTTTAAGCTGGGCGTCAGTGTCTCACGCCTATAATCCTAGCTACTCAGGAGGCTGAAATCTGAGGATCATGGTTCAAAGCCAGCCCTGGTAAGAAAGTCCGTGAAGCTCTTATCTTCAATAAACCACCAGAAAACCGGAAGTGGCGCTGT